TCGCACTGAGGTATCCCCTGCACCTCACCCAGGCAGTCACCCTGGCCTGCCGTCACGCCTCCTCGCTGCTCGTGCTGCTGCGACTGCTACGACGTCCTAGTAAACTGCGCCCGCACTTTGCGGTTATTAAGAGCAAGGCTTCACGTGGGATAAAGTTTTGTTTTTCACCGATTTACGAAATGTATTAGTGGAACTGAATGCAGTATTTGTTGTGAATATGATGGACTCGGAATGTGAAACCAGAGACTTTTTACTTAACGAACTAATCCATATATCTGTAAGCAAACAACAATTGTCTGAGATTATTGCTTTTAACACTTTTTAAATTAAACTCGGATGGCAATTTGAGGTGTGAATGAGGATTTTCTTTCTGAAGGAAAATCTCATGACTGAAATGAGAACGTTGATAATTAACATCACGTCTTTATTTTGCTTATCACCTCTAAATTTCAATAAATACTAATGCATTCAACACAATATTCTTCACATCAGTAAGATACGAAGCACGAATGAAAACTAAGGATGATAGACTCATTCTAACACATTTCTAGCAGCAACATTTCAGTGTGTAAATGTCATAAATATATTACATTATATATTACATTAACATCCGCCTTGTTTTTTTTACGAACAGCTACATAATGGAACATTACCTGGTTCACATTGTAAGAAGATTATATACAGGCAAACTCATTTATTAAGCAGTTATCATCAGAGCACATATGATGGATATTGGTGCCTGACTTATAAACTTTTATATACCATATTAGTTCTCGTGAAAAAAAATGGACCAGCGTAGGTGGCATCCTGTAATAGATATGGCGACGTGCCTCGGGTCTGTAACTAAAGGTAAATTGCTTGATACTCGCTGCAGTATCCACAAACGCACACACGCTGCAATGTGTTTGTAAAGGTACCATTAGCATCGGCGCCGAAAAAGGTAATATACCCTAATGGATAGGTGATCAGAGTCCTAACTCAGGTGTCAAGGATTCGAAACCACAATTCAGCTACTTTTTCACATTGCTTACTAATGACTGAACAGAAAAAATACGCGCGCGCACTCTCTTACACACACACATACACACACACACACACACACACACACCACAGAGAGAGAGAGAGAGAGAGAGAGAGAGAGAGAGAGAGAGAGAGAGAGAAGAGAGAGAGAGAAGAGAGAAGAGAGAGAGAGAGAGAAGCAGAGAGAGAGAGAGAGAGCGGGTTACAAGTCTTCAGCCAGATTAACATTTAGATTCTTTAACAAAAGAGTAATCCTGAATAAAGGTATTCAAGTTAAAAATAGCGAAAAGACATGATTTGGACAAGTTCTAATGTCCACATAAACTATTCAAAAAACGACGGTTAAAAGAACAACCCGTCAAACCCTCGATCACAGGAACGCGTGATACTCTCAGGTTAAACTAGTTATCGTGGCAGTTCAGAAAATCCTTCATGAAAAATCTATGATGCATTTTATCAAATACACATTGTAACTCTTGCACATCAGGTGGGTGAGTCACGAGGCAAAATAACCCCCCCCCCCCCGGCTGAGATGAAAGAAAAATATCACGACTTGCCCCCAAGCTGCAGCACCTTCGGAAGTGACGGCGTCGGACAAAACCCGCCCACAGAGTATGGTGGGTATGTGGATGTGGTAGTAATATTACACATAGACACACACACATATATATATCTAACAATGACGGTAGCCCATAAGGAAAAAGGCAATATATTTCAGGGTACCTTAACAGTAAAGTTCAATAGGCGAGACGATAACTAAAGGAATACTGAAAGGCAAAAAAAGTTAATATATATGCTAAAAAGAAAACTATCACGTAAAAGAAGAAAACAATGTAAAAAATCTTGCAAAGAAAAAAAAAACAGGTAATAACAAACAAATGAACCAAAGAGAGAGAAATAAACAAGTAAAACAATGGAGACAAGCAAAACAACGACAGAAAACGCCACCTAACTTCCATCGAAGGACTGCTAGAGACCGAGTTTCTGCTGCACGGAAACTGTTTTTTTTTTTTTCATACTTCTGGCTTATCACTGGGAGATCTAAAATTTTGTCGTAACCCACAGATGCACAGGCGAGTAACGGACGGCAGGTAAACACATAAACTCGATTTGCCTCGTTTTCATGAGATCAGGAAAAGTGAAACAGCATCGGGCACACTTGTAAAACATCGTGGTCAGGAGATAATGTAAGAAAACAACCACAAAAAGTGGTATAGCAACAAGCAGGAAGCAGGAAGCCGGGTAAGGCAAGCTTGATTAATTACAAAACTAGAATAACCAAAGGAAATGTATTTTGCTACAGCAAGGCTGGCATAGAGATAAATAAATACATACAATTAAATATATTACATGAGTACAATTTAAAAAATCCACAGACACTATATCCAAGAAAAATACAACAGTTGGCACCTTGTCTGAAAGGGATCAATCTGAAATTCCCGTGTTACCTTCTAAAGAAATAACAATAAGAAGTCCCAAAGGAGAGGGATCACCTGGCTCAACAGCAGCAATATACTGTAATCTTGTTGTGGAGAATAGATCTTAACCTGTTTCATGCGGATTCATTTGTCCCTGGCATAATTTGCATAAAAATCTTTCACAAGTTATCACCTTTAGAATGCTTGCAGGATCCTAGTCCCTCTTGGAGCCGAAGTATCAGGATCTTTGTACATTTTGCGAGTAATAATGAGGCTTCCTAAAGGGAGAGCTTCCTTCAGGCACATTTGTAATCCCTCGTCCTTATGTGCCATGCTGTGCGAGAAGCTTCACAAGCTGCTTCCCTAACTTCTGTTAATGTCCCAGAAGCACTGAACTTGGAGAATCGTCATCATACCAGATCTTTTTTCAATCCTATATCTACATGGAGCCGCCGCATAAAAGGACGTCTCATCAGACAGAGAAAGGAGAGACAGAAACGACAGACAGACTAAGGCACACTGGGTCTAGCTCACCACCACTCCGCCCTCGGCATCCGGGGATACAGGTCTCTCTTGGGATCTCACATTGCCTTGCTTCCATAATAAAACTACAAGTCAAGACCCCTTTCGTCCACCTGCACTAAGGCCACCCTTTCTTGCTGACATCTGACTGCAGCAGCGCTCCCAACCTTTACCTTCATATCTGGTGACAGCGGTCTACTTTCACAATATTGTGTTTTGTAGTGACCATGAAACACTGCATCAAGGTGGTAGGGGTTTTGGGATGTTACAAAAAATGCCTATAATGTCACTTAGGGGAAGAGTTGAAATTCACATATATTTCAAAAGGAAATGAGAAGTCTAATTACACATACACACACACACACACACACACACACTCACACACACACACACACACACACACACACACACACACACACACACACACACATATATATATATATATATATATATATATATATATATATGTATGTATGTATGTATATGTATGTATGTATAGAAAAGGGCAATTGTACCGTAAAAACATTATTTGTTTCTTAGTGACCACAGATCTAGAGGAGTGGACTGACACTGATAGATTCTCACAGGCATCCATAATAGGACAACATGAATTGAGTTATAATCATTGAAGGAAGTAGTCTTTGTCTGTTGGCTTTCATCATGAGAATGAATTTAATTCTAATATGTATATATTTTGAAGTGTCTTGGTTTTGGAAATAAAATTCATCTTATCATTACCAGCACTTCCATTGCCACAATTTGAGCACCCACCAAACATAATAGGTGATTCCAACAGTCACCATAACAGCTTATTAAATGTGCTGATACTACCATAGATGAGAGGAACACCCAAAATAACATGCATCTACTCTATAACCCCAGTGAAAGAGGAACGTTTTTTTCTGCCAGATGGCACCAGAAATATATACTAGATCAAACCTTCTTGACTAAAGATATGGATGGTTTGTTAAAACTGTGCAGGGCCTGATCCAATTAATATTCATATCTACGGACATACGTATATAAAGAAATAATGCATATCTGTCTATCTGGTAGAGATACATTTATCTATCTATCCGGGAGATAAATATGTCTAGACTGATAAATAACGATTTATTTCTGTGTATATGCATGTCTGTATATATGAATAATAATTGGGTAGAGCATCGCACAATATCAACAAACTGGCCGACAAACTTGCAATCCTTAGCAACACAGTACTGTCCTTGTCACAATAGACAAAACAAGGCGTCGCCTAAAATAGACTGGGTAAAGTTCCCCCCAGAGTATCAAGCATATAACTGCAGTATCCTTCACCCCCCCAACCCACCCACCCATACACACACATCTACAATTATGACCAGATTCAACTGACTTGTTTTGAAGACCAAAATGTACATCTCCAGAAATCACAGGACTCAGTTCTTGCTGGTCCACACAAGTGAACACTCTAGGAGGAATGTGCATGTACACACGACGCAGATATGGCAGACCAACCCCTGGTTCCCCACAGGAGAGCTGGACCAAAACAACAGAAAACATGGATTTCTAACTTCAAGCAGACATGCATCGAACCTCCTCAAAATAATAGATCTAGACAAGGCAAATGACCCCTAGGGAAATGGAGTCTTACTGGTGTAGACACAATAATCAGACAAATAAAAGAGTAGAGCAGACAACCGTAAAGGAGAAGCTTGTAAAAAGCACCAACATCACTATAAAACCTGTCCAGCAATAAACCGAAATATTGCAAGTCTTGCAACATTTGAGGAAGTAGTAACTGCCCTGTGCGCTCTAAAGACTGACAGGGCTGTAGGCTTCGATGCTGTCTACGTAGGCCAAAAGAGCATTATCTTCAAAGGAAAGTTACAAACAAGCAAAAGTAATATCTATCTTAAAACCCAGTAAACGCAGACAACCCAGTAAGCTACAGACCCATACCCTTTCCTTCGAACTGCATGAAAAATTTCTACTCATAAGATTTACACCCACACTGGAATCACATCCCCTCGAACAGGCTGATGTTAGAACATGAAAGAG